TGGGGGGGGGTGGGGGGGGGGGGAGATGGTTTTGGTGCACAGCAATTGGCTCCCCTGCGAGGGTAGCTATGGCTGATGCTCTCCCTGCGTCTCGAAGGCAAAGACGAAAGACATACAATTGAAAAGAGCCAGCGCGATCTCTCGTCCGGGGCGGGCTATCCATGTCCAGGGGTACATGAACAAGTAGGATCTGGAGCACTTTCTGTGATTTCGCACATGACGTTTTCGTCGAGTTCCATGCGCCGCCGCGTGCCGATGACATGGGAGACGAGGGGATTCATTCTCTCATGCACAGCCAGAGGTTGGTTGTGTTGGGCGCTGCTCGAGTTTGCAAGCTGCGGACAGAGAGCAGTCGCCCACCAAAGCCCATGCACTTCTCTGTTGCACATGTAACGATTGGATACCCACGGGAGAATGTACGACTATTGTGTATGTCCAAGTAACTCGAGAACGGGCGGTACATGGAGATGAGTGGCAGCAGCATTGGGGGGCCAGGTGCGGCGTGCAAGCAGGGCTGGTGTTTCTGTGTGTTAGAACTGGTGAACACACACAGCAGTGCCTGCAGCTGTTCATTTGGCGCCTGTCTCTCCGTTTGCATGAACTACGGATGGGGACCAACAACCAATGTCTCTTGCCATTGTAGATCTCCAAGACATAACATAAACATCGCCATTGACATGGAAGCGCCTTGTCCTATGCCTCTTACCTTGTGGCGTTGGCGCGTGAGTTGGTTTCGACACACACAGAGCAGAGGCAGGAGTAGAGCAGAGCTGAGAGAGCCGATGGCAACGGTAAAGGAGGGGATGCGCAGATAGCGCTTCACAAGCGTATGCTGTTTGTATGCCGCGTCACCCCCCTGGGTCCTTCAAAAGTGGTGAACCAAGCAACAGCAGATCCTGCTGTGCTGCCTGCCTGCCACGTTGTGTCAACAAGGAAAGCCGCCAAGATAGACAGGAGAGGGGCTGACGACAAAAGACTCACAGCGACGATCCGCTTTCTGCCCAACACTGTGAGTACCTCGTGAGCGTTGTTGCTGCTGAATCGTGATCACTACAGCAGTGCATCTGCCTGGGATCTACTGTCTGTGGCTGGTTTGAGTTGAACCTGTTGATGACATGCCACCACGAGCTGCTGTTGTTGCCCGTACTTGTTTGCGACAGACAGTGATGGGAGTTGGAGAAGCATAGCACATACGAAAGCCGGTCGTGTTTGGATCATCCCCTTCTAGAATTGCTTGCGGACAGCAAGATATGTGTGTACGCGCCGGGTTGTCGTTCGTTGCTTGCTTCTCTCTCTCGCTCTCTCTCGCTCTCTCTCGCTCTATTTGTATCGCTCTTTTGTCATCTCTGATCATCTCTGGATTGTCGCGTTGGATCCGCAGTCGGGTTAGCCGCTGTACCGGGCCTCTGCCCACAACGTGCAATGTGTGTGCATGTTGCATTGACAAACATGGCACGATTAGATAGGACATCTACTGCTGTACCCCATCGGCTTTTACGTCTCGGCAGAAATATGACGCACAAGGGTTTGTTCTTGGAAATGGGCCAATCGTTGTGCGACGTTTTCTCCGCCGACCAATCAGCTAGCGAGTCATTTTCGCGTCATGATACCATGATACTCTCTGCCCCCGAAGTTCGAATGGGCGCTGCTCTAATCCCAGAAATAGGTGCATACCTAACATCACAGAGAGACTGCCCACCAGGGCGACAATTCTCAGGAAGAACCCGTGTATCTTTCGTGTACATTTTTTTTTTTTTGCGGTGTACGACCGGTACACTTGGTACGAACATGGCCACAGCAGTCGGGTACCCCTGTTAACCGCACCTCACAGCGACCGCACGCCGATATCTGATTGATCGACGCCCGCCGCCACCCGACCTTGACCGTCTTTCGACCGGGTGCACCCGATCGTCGCGTTGTTCCACCCATCAGATGGCATCATGCGATCGCTGCGAGCTGTATGGTGTTTGGATCCCCACCCGACCCACACACACGCGCGCGCGCTCTGGTTTATTTTCGCAATCCTCGCTTGCTTCGTTTCTCTCTTGGTGGCAGCCCAAGAATAACTCTTGGCTACTTCTGACAGCTGCTGCCATTGGTCTCATTGGTTTTCAGGAGGACCGCGCAGCAAGACTCACACCATACACATCATGGCTTCTGCCGACGTGTTCGGAGATCTTACGGTGCAGGTGTTGAGAGGGATAAACCTCCAGGTGAGCAATGCATGTTGTTTCTCACGTACTGACTAGCCAAGGCGTCGCCATAGGACCGCCACCATTTACCTCCTCAATGGTATGTAGTCGTTGGACGTCTTGCAAAGAAGAGGACCCCCCTCGCTCCTGCGCAGAATTCCTTCCATTATTCCGAGGAGAGAGGCGGAACGTGCGTGTCGATACGCCAGGAGGGTGAAGTTCAACGTCCCACACACACAAAAGAAAATCATGTGTGCTGTCGGAGTACCTATCTAGATTGCTTGGTTGTAGATTTGTTCACCTACAGTAGTCAAGATTACTCCAGGGAGATAGATCCGTCAGAGTCCCTTGCACCGGTGCAATGCTGGGACCCCCAAGGAGCTGTCACGATGCCATCGGATTGTAGAACGTCCGCTCTTGATCTAAGCTAGCTCGACGTTCAATCTCCAAGACACGATACGATACGTGATGGTGACAATGGCCCGCCATGATCCACAAATTTGGCTCACGAAACGTGTTAATTGCACCCCTCGTTTTTCCAGCACCCAACCATACATCCGCTCGCCTGTGCGTAGTGTGCCACACCCAGCAGTCGTTACCACTATTGCAAACAACCGAGTTGTCTGTCGCCCGGTCTCTTGTTTTTCTAAGCCCTCGAGGTATTCTTGTTGGCTCTTGCTGTTTGCTGCGGCCGTTAGAACCTTAAGGCGTTCGGTACCTGCAACCCTTACGTGCTGTTGAAGATGACGTCATCTCCCGAAACCAAGACCACTGGCGTACGGGTACGTGTACGAATATTTTGCGGGAACGTTTCGATTATGTTCTGATCGGACATGACCCATTGGTTGTACGATTTTGGTTCGACGTTTTGTTTTCTTCAATACATCTGTGCTGCCTGTGTCTGTTAGATCGGTGGACTTTTCTGTGTTTTCGCTCATTGTTGGATCTCAGCTTGATTATTACTATTAATGCTGTTGTTCCGCTATCTTGATGTGGTTGTGGCTGTTGTTGTTGCTCTTGTTCTGTATTTTGGGCAAGCCGTCTCTCCGCATCTTGCTCGTTCCACGCCGTTGTTAAATATTCACTCTTACTCTCCCTCCTGATGTTTCCTCCTGCCCTCCCCCCAATTCGCTTGTTTCGTTTTTGCGTGTGCTTGTCTACGATGTTGTTTGTTTGATAAAACATTACAGGAAAGCGACGCGAATCCCAGCTGGCACGAGACTTTCATATTCCGCAACGTTGCCAGCACGTGAGAGCAAAAGAAACAACTGCGTGGCCACAGTACATAGCCCTTGTTGACATCCTGGAAAAAAGCATGCATACATGCATGCATACAAACAATTGAAAAGGGCGACAGAGGCGGGGGAGGTTGATAACGGACTTGTTTTTCGGGGGGTGAGTGTACCCTCCCGTGACAGGGAGAGAGAGTCATTGAGCTGAATCTCCACTGCGATACGGGGCTTAGAGAGAGAAGCGGGGGGGGGGGGGACCTCTGTATAGTACCGTGTTCCTAGAGGTTCGGAACCTACATCGCTCGCCTCACAGCGTGTGGACCAGCTCATAAGAAACATTTTGAACGGAAATGGAGCGCAAGAGATTGGGCTCAGCCACTAGCGTCACCCTAAGTCCTGTATTGCGGCTTAGAATAGCCTGACCTCATGGTTGAGAAACTTTGCTTAGGTTGTGAGGGGGCCGGCACTGTAGCCGAAAACGAGGCAATCTTGTCCACCGGTTGAGACTTTTTGAGACCCGTTGTCGGGCTAGGCGTTTGGACGAGTTTTTCCTCTGTTTTTTTTGTGTTGTCGACCTTTGCTTGTAGACCCATTATCAGGCTATATAGGGGATTGGACGAAGTATTTTCCTCTGGGTTTTGACGCGAGACTGCTGCCAATATAACTCTCCGCACACACCTCCATCCAACAAAGATTGAGACGAAAGTTAAAAACTCGAAAACGTAGTCTTGCGCCCCCACCACCCTAACTCCTCCGCGTTTACAAATCAATGCCTACTTTTAACACTCTAACCGACCGACCCCTGCTGTGCTTCTTTTGGGATATCAATCATCCCGCCTTGGCCGACATGTTGTTGCGGCACAGCGATGCTCTCCAGATAAGCCTGATGGAAAAGGAAGGGTCTAGAGAAGGAGTGGTGAGCGTGAGGGGGGGGGTGCGAGCGACAGAGTGGGGATTTCCAGGGGTTGGCGGCGGGGAGAGGGTGCTGGAGGTGAGTTTTATGTGTGTGTTTTTCAAGAAGGGAAGAATGTATTGCATATTCGTATCTACATGCTTACTACGCACGCCTCTTGTTTTGTGTACTCAGCACTAGATACGGGTCTACGGAGATCTCGGAGGATTTGGGGGGTTTGTTCGAAAAGTTCAAACGAGAAGCTTCTATTTGGATGCTGCGTACTGCTGTATGCTTTGGGAATCGGTGCTACTGTATTTTTCTTGTTTTGTTTGGGGTACCCTCGATACATTTCCCTAACGCGCGCCGTTTAACCCAACCAATCTATTCTTGTTTCTACTTTTGCGGGGTCTGGACTGCCCGGATGGTGCCCTCATTGTACTGTTGGTTGCTTAGTTTCGGCGTTTATGCGTTTGGTTCCTTTTTCCTTCGCGTGGTCAGTCGTGCCCGCATGATGCATACAGGCGTAGTAAGACTCGATACAAATATCTATAATTGTTTGTTTTCATTCGTTGAGGTTCGCTGAGCTCTTTCGGGTCAAAAAATGCCACCTGTGTGAGCCGTTGGCTTGGAAAACGTTGCAACCAGCTATGCATTAAGCAGTCAACGGCGGGCTGGTTCTGCTGCCTGCCTGCTTGTATTTCCAACTTTCGTCACCGGTTGATGACACTAGCCGTGCTCTCATGGGCCCACTCCGGAGAGACCCCTTTGTATCATCTACTATCTAAACTAAACCGGTGTCGTGTGCGTTTCCTTTTCTTAAAACGTCCGTCCGGTCAGGTGACTATGCCATGCACCACTGACACCACGGGTGTGCCCAACATGGGCACGGTCGTACTGAAGCTGCAGTACCGCGCTCAGGTGAGGAGGAAGGCGATGAGATGGGGGGGGAGGGGGGGGAGGGCGTGCTCTCATGTTTTGCATGCCTTAGCGGTTAGACCATTTACCACGGTGTTCCCACAAGACCGATCACCGATGTCCGATCGTTCTCCGAAGGTGGCTCAAAAATGTTTTCCCCTGCCTATATATGTACATCAAATATATCCTATCGATACCACTTCACGCCGTTTCAACCCACTTCCGATGCCCCTGTTAGGGGCGTGGGGGGGGCATTGGCCTGGTGCCTGCCCATTTTTGCTCTATTATGTGCGTTTTTCCTGTTGAATAGGTACAAGTATTGTTGATTTGTCTCCTCCTCGACTCTTGTCCGATTAGACTATTTGTATTCCGCGTCCTTTTATTTTTCCCAGAGAACAAGAGGTATGTAGGGCATCTTGCTTCTGTTGGCACGGGATGTTTGGTTTAGTTCCGGCCTGCTTGCTTGCGGTAGTATTTGCGTGCTTTGGCTTGCTGGCCACGCCTAAACATTTGTAAGAGAATAGAGAATATGTCGTTGATTTCATACGAGAGCGTCATCTTCCATTTCTTCGTGTACTGTCTTGCCAACTGATGTCATCGATCCTCTCGACGTTCTGTTCATGCGTCTTTTGTCGAATTATGTATAGAGCACTGGCCAACTACCATCTTTACTGCTTTTCATTCGCCTCGATTCACATGCTTTCCTGCAGCTAAAGTTCCGCGCACCGTTTGGAGTGATCAAGACCGCCGCAGCGAAGACCGCAATCCTCACCGACAAGGTACAAAAGTATAAAAATGCCTCCGTGATTGTTGTTGTTGTTGTTGTTGTTGTTGTTGTTGTTGTCGTCGTTGTTGTTGTCGTTGATGTTGATGTTGGTGTTGGTGTTGTTGGTGTTGTTATCACTTGCAATTTCTGTTCATGTATTGCGTCGTTGTCATAGTTTGTTCCTCCGGCTTTGCTGCCGTTATCGTTCTCGTCGCTGTTGGTTTTGTATCCACCCCCGCCCCCCTGAAACAACAACCTCCAGGCGAAGATCGACGTGGTGGTGGACAAAGTGATGAACGTCCTATTCAAGCCCGTTGCCATGGCCGAAGGAGTTGCCAAGCGTCTCACCAAGGCCCAGAAGATCATTTACGGGGGAAGCGCGGCGGCGGTTTCGAGCGCTGTTGGCGGAGGGGCTTCCATGACCTTGCTGGCGTTGGCCGTGCCGGTGTTGTTCATGGCCCTGCTGTTTCTACCGCTCACGCTCATGGGAGGGGTAAGTTGGTCATTGATGCCCTCACCTCGCGAAGGTGTGCGTGTATAGATGACGGTCTAGAATAGCATGCTGTTAAGATGAAGGTTAAGGGTTTCTGCAGCAAACGACAGCCACAGTAACCGATCATTGGAAGCTTGTGGTTGGCGAGCGAAATTGTCACACCCACGTAAAGCACCGGGGATGAGCTAATCTCTGAGTCATGTAGCCGGGGTGCAGAGCTATTTAGCAAGAGTGGCCGTTACCGTAAGCTACAACCAACCTTTCCAAAATGTGTGCTCTTCCCATGTTCCGTCAACGATGGGCGTAAATAGCCGATGGTACGGGTTGATCGGTGTTGGATCCGCCTGTTTCGATGCACACAAGAAGCAATTTCTCGCAGCTCGCTTGGTACTTCCGTGCCTCGTTGCGTTCGAGACGTTGCATTCAGCCTCGACATGGACTGATTGGTAAGGTGTCAGCTGCTTGTAAGTGTTGAATTTCTTCCTACTGCTCCACGTCAAGAAGATAGTCCTGCTGTATATAATGTACCAGAGATAGATGTGTGTGGTCGAGGCTCGAACTGTTTTTCATCATACGGTATGGCATGAGACGGCATGGTATCATCTCGCTGCCAGGGCTATTCCCACTGGGTAATACCGTATTATCCGGGATACGAGTTATTATTTTTGTTGCTGCCTCATCATAGAGTTGTGGGGGCGCAACACACCGATGTTTTGTGTTCGGCAACACCGGCGTTTTTTTTCACGTTTTGCGCACACTTTGTTTCGGCAGTTTTTCCTCGCCGTGGCTATGCTGGTCATCATGCCGTGTGTGCTGGCTCTGGGGTGGGTGGTCCTGTGCTCCCGGCCGGTCCAGTGCCGCGTGTGGATGCCGTGGTTGTTCTGGGCCATGTGCAAGTCTCCTATCCTTCACAAGGTGAGCGCATGCGGTCGGATATTAACCGGGGTTCGAAAGGCTTCCTATCGGCGTGAGCTAGCTAGCTGTGTTTGTCTAATGTCTACGTTTGGTATCAACTTTTTGTTGACGGGCGCTCGCGGTCTCAACCTATACCTGAAGATAGATGTCCAATTCTGCGTCGCTTACCTACTACTTGTACATGGTTTGCGTTTTTTTGCACGTGATGAATGCCGCATGTCTTACTTCCTGTCTGCCCGTGAACAAGGATTTTCAAGTTGGGGCATGCTACGTATGTACTGCCGTCTCTGAGAAGCGAAATTGTTAGGTGTTAGTTATCCCTACTCGCTGTTTGGGAGAGTTTGATGCGTACAGAATGTCTGTTTAAATGAATTGTTCGTTTCGCTCTCCCTGAATCTCTCTCTATCCTAGTGGTATCTACCGCTTCGTTTCTTTCCTTGTTGGTATTATAGGTGCATGCTTCCGGCGTGCAAATGGAACGAGCTACTATGCTATCTGCTTCTTCTTGTGCCCATCCATGATTCGTTTCGACCCCCTCCCCACCGCCCGGCTCCGACAGGCCCTGTTGCAGCCCCCGCCTCACTCACCCTCCGGAACGCAGCAATAGACTGTAGTAAATGGTGAGAGGCACAAAACGCGGCTGGCTGCGGTAGAATGCGCGTGCCAACGTTTTGCGCTTGAAAATGGTGGGCTATAGGCAAGTAGGAGGCAAGAGTGGGGTGTTGGTTCATAGCCGGCCGAGATTTTGTGGGTTATGTATGCGGCGAAGGGGGCATCGGGTGGAGTGCAGGTACTGCTGTGCAAAGTTTTCTTGGTACGTGGTGTTGGTATTGATGTGTCGTACAAGTTTGTACGAAGAAATCATTTTGATTGCACGGACTCCGGCGATTGGATATTTATTTGCGTTTTGTGCAGCAGGCAAAAGGGTGTACAATCTTAACTTTGTTTTACTGTAGGTGTGTTTGCAACACGACACGGAATGCGCGTGGATGCGCCCAAACCGAGTTAGAAAACACTCTGGGATGTTTTTCGTGATTTTGGTGGAGCACGTTGGTTGATTGTGTGGTGTGATGTGTTGGTTTTTCCTTTTGTTGGTTCTTTCACTAATGAAGTCATTTTTTGCTGCAATGAAGTGGTGGTGGACAAGTGTTGGCCGGATTCGGTGAAAATTATCCCTTGTTCTGTGCGCTTGCATTGAAAACCGCACCGACCTCCGTTCATGCCAACTATTAGCGCCCGTCCTTCTGCTTCGGGTCAACTGGTGCGGACGCCCTTCGTGTTAAATCAAGAGATACGTGCACCTATGCAAGCTTACGGAGCACGCTTGACAGCCCTAGTTTCCGCCGTTGCGTATCCCTATAGCCCGCAAATGGGTGTGTGCGGGTGCGCGACTTGGTCGTTTTTGCTTGTGTTTCGTGACGTTCATGAAGCAAGTTGTTGCGATTCCCACGAAACTTAAACTTGCATACGCATTCGCCGACCTCTTGCTCCAACCCCTCCTACGTCCGACACCAAAAGACGTCATGAGTCAATGATGAGATGGCGCCAACGTGGGGGGTTATCTCAGCCCCAGCTCTGCACCTCGGATGTATGCATGTGCCGGCATGTGAGCAACAACATACGCTCCATCCAGTCGTCGACCCTCTCTACATATATGTGTGCCACACTAGTCCCTTTTCCGCCGCCATCGCCGCAGATAAGCAATAGCTTTCCCCAACGAAATCGACGCAACTCTCGAGTAAGTCTGTTCCGAACTTTGGTTGTTGCAACACCGCCCTATGGCAATGTGTAGCCGTGACACCCCTCCTCGTTTGGAGCGCCCAGTGTTTTCGTTGGAAACGAAGCCAAGTGTAGCGAATGTGGCTGACGCTGCGCGATACGATCATCAAAACGCGGTGTGCAGGCGCTCGACTTTCCTTCGGTTGCGGTCCGACACATGGTAGACCGAAAGGCCCAATCAAGGACAGCAAAAAAAAAACGCAACACGTCAAGACAGCGTGCATCATCGTCCACACAAGTGCCAGTCGGTGCGCTAAGAGTATTTGCCATCACAGCACGTGCGTGTGGAGAGTGGCCGTTCTAGGCTCAACGAACCGTAAACCAACCAAGAATTCGGAGATGGGTAGAAGAAACATGTGGGTAGCAGCGTCGGCTCATTTTAATGTAGGCTTGTTGCGACCCTAAACAACTCCCAAAAGAGTGCAAGCACAAAACACGCGGACCAACACCATGTCACCCCTCCTCTAACATGCCATTATTTGCACATCAACTCCCGCGACAGAAACGCCGTGCCGACGCCGTAAATCACTAGAGAGACTGACATGATCTTTATCGAGAGACGCGACACTCTGTTCTCCTTCAATCCGCTATTCCCCGTGGGCAGGCAAAAAAAAAGAAAACGGAGATCAGAACGACAACAAAAAAATACAATCAAAAAGGGCAAAGACGGAAACCGCCCGCAGAGGCTGGAAAAAAAAACAAAACGTTTTCTTGACCTATTTGTTTCTATCTTGTCCAAATGTTCTAGAAATCCAAGACGCTCGTTTCAGGAAAACTACGGCACATCGTCCCCCGCTCATGAAAGCACGCGTACTCGTCGTCAATACACACGCCGGCGGAGAGAGGCATCACCACCCCCAACGCACGATCCCAAAACGACTTCGAAAAACTGTGTTTGCAGCTATCGTGTGATTAGTGGATGCCGCCGCTGTATACTCCGCGCGAGATCTGTTCGAATGCGGGCATGCCGCCAGTGAGGAAGTTGTGGGTCACGAGGCCGGTGATGCCCATCATCGCCGCACGCCCGTTGTGGAGCTCCTTGAGCTGGGACACGCATTGACGAAAGCGGTTCGACGGAGCAGTGGGGGGAGCGGGGGCAGGGGTCAGTCGTCTTCCGCCGCTACTGGAACAATACAAGGTGCCTCACTCATCAGGCACTCCGGGACAGATTTGACAGATTGGCAGGAGAGGGTGATGTAGCAAAAATTGCTGCACACCTCGCCCGCAAAAACATGACATCAATCCGCTGCGCGCGAGTCCGCCTCGCAGACTTCCACACATCTGTGTGTACTGACCAGCGTAGGGGTCTTAGTTTGCTTTATGCACAAAGGCAAAACGTTTAAAACACGGGCCGGCAAGGACCGAACACTGTCAGACACTTGAAGAAAAACGCCGGCCGACAAGCCTTCGACCTGTGTCTTAAGGGATTGCAGTCGCAGCCGAAACTTGAAGGCTCTTGACTATCCAACGTCATATCTCATGAAACTGCTTGTAGAGTGTGTCAACAACCATGGTCCCATCATATCCATCCCGTTCTACTCATGTACAAAGAAGGCCACTTTCAAAAAGAGTCCATAATTACAACACCAACATGTCGCCAAACACGGACCGAAGTTCTTCCCTTTGCATCGGTGACGTCAGATACCACGCCGCCGGGACTGATTTCAAAGCTCGACTACCCCACGACGAAGCGGATGCACCAATCAAATCGTGCGTTCACCGCTCGACCAGACGGTGCCAACACCGCCATTTTCGGCACCACTCACTACTCCTGACCCAACTGAAATCAGGCTGTTCGATATCTTGTCACCTACGGTACATGCATAGTTTTATTTTACACCGCTGGACGAGAGTGCACAACCATGGGAGTTCTTTCGGCATTGGCGGCATGACCGGCAACAACACAGCAACGACGCGACAGTAGCAGTAGCAGCGCACCAAGCGCCACGTGCGATCTATGGAAGCCTACGAATCCCACGACTAACTCTTATACAAGCCAAAACCAAACAATTAAAGCTGACTAGTCCAATGGTTTGATTTCGGCAAAAAAAAAGAAAAAAAATAGATCCACACCACGAGACACACCTGGTAGGTCTCCCACTGGGAGTGGGGTCCCTCCTCGCTGAACAGGTCGTTAGCTCCCACGTAGTCCCCCGGGATGTAGCCGGGCTTGGCCACTATCTGAGAGATGACGTACTCCAGGAACCCGATGAACATCACGATCTGCACGCACAATACCCACACACACACATGGGCCCAGATTACAGGCGTTAGAAGTGTGTTTGGTCCATTGCTCGCTTTTAGCTTTGGCGTCTATTAGCGCGGTAAATGCGACAAGCAAAAATACCACCAGTACATCGTCCTACACACAACAAGAGGGGCGAGAACAGAGTGTGTGTAAGCAAGACCATCGCCATCGCCGGTGAGCCGCTCGCTGCCTGGAAAACGGAACAACCCATAGCACCAACGCAAGTGACGAAACACACAGCAATGAGCACCACCAAAGAACACAACGAAAAACAGCGACAGCAGCAGCAGTAGCAACAGCGGTAACTTGCCTGGAAGAGGCCCTCCGGCGGCACCTCGGTGATGGCCTTCACGGGGTTAGACGAAAGACCACCGTTGTACAGAGGGTGCCAGTTCTCCTGTAAAAGCAGTAGCAAAAGACAAAAGACCGGACGCGCGTGCATGCAAGACAAAATGCAAACAGTCAGCAAAACAGAGTGTAGTCCGGATGAAACGGAACTGGGAAGGACAACAGGTCGCACTCTGTTGTTTATACCGGTACCAGACAGCAGCAACACAAGCGTAGAGAGGGCTCTCGGTGCATTCTGTGCATGAGCACTGCTGTGCAACAGGGGGAGGGTGGGAGGATGGTTCTTAAGCTATACCCGGATACGAAGAGTTCATACAACGACAACGCCCACCAATAATCTCGTTCGTCCGCGGTCAAAGAGTGGAATTGCTCTCGTGTAGTACCATGTGCTGTTCTTATTCTTCCATGGCATCGAGGTGAATGGGTTGGGCACACCCCACCTCGCATCCAATCAAGACCGCCAAGACAAGCTACTTCGTGCCCCCTCTAGTTGCGGTTCGCAAGGAAATTGTAACTGCCCGCGGATTCAGACCAAGTGAACAAGACAACCCCCCCTACATAGGTTGACCCGCCGTCTGCTGGCTGCTTGGCACACAACAGGAAGAAGACGACATGCGAACCAGCATCCAGTGGTCAACTCCCACTCGAGCCTTCTCTACAGGAAAACAAAACACAGGCCGGCAAGGCTGCATGTAACCCACCACGTTTGATGAATGTGTAAAACGCAGTTCCAACAAAAACAAGCACTTGCTTCCAACGGGGGTCCCTCCCTGCCGACCCCTATCTACATACATGCCACCACAATTGCTGTCAACGACGCAAACGAGGCGAAATCGTACCATGCTGTGCCGAGACTTTTCTACTTTGCACCTCTTCAAGGTGCTCCACTCCTTCCAAGAACTCTATGCAGCACAAACAACAGCACTCCCTGTCCTACTACGTTTGATTGTGTTTCAGGGTCAAACGAACATCTGGCGGCAACCCCTTTCAAGCAACCCCCAAAACGACAGTGTCATCAAGTGAGACATGGTGTGTCAAAAAAAGCGCAATGTCACGAAACGGCGAGGGTCCCGCAGAATCGATTGGCACAACACAGACAAGGGCACTTCCCATTTGTCTGGCGCGCGACATTTTGGGGGTCTCGACCATACAGCAGTGGAAGGGGGGGAAATAGGAAATAGCCAGGTTGTCTCGGTCCAGCTCGTTTCGATCAGTCATGCGGCGTAACTTCGAGAACGAAAGCATGAACAGGAGCAACTGTTGTTTCGAGGCTGCTCAATCCACGCACCTCTCCCTAGGCCACACAAAAAAAACGCAATTTGGACAAACCACGTCTGTGCAGCTGTCCGTGTACAAACGTAGCTCCCGCTGAGGCACGCCTCTATATTGGGTGCAATCGACAAGCCACGTCGTAAATACTCTTGCGAAACTTTACGGGGTAGGAAAAAGGGGATGCACCAACACGGAAACCAACACGAGAGGCAAGGAGAGAAAAACACTGACGGTGCCAAACAGCAGTGCGCAGCGACAGACAGCAGCAGCGACCTTCCCAACTCGCACACCTGCCAAAGTCAACTACGGGCGTAGTCACACGGAACACAAACATGCGGGGAAAAAGCAAAAACAAAGGTGCCAAAACAGCGCGCGGCCTAGGCGGCAAAATCTACAGTGTAGAGCCCCAACCAAAACTCGCGCACCTGCGTAAGGAAGCCGACGACCGCGAGCATGGCCGTGCGGCCGTGCTTGAGCTCCGCCTCGCGGTACGCGTTCAGGCGCTCCGCCGGCCCCTTGGAGAAGCCCATGGGGTCGAAGAAGCCCAGCGGCGCGCTTGCGCCGACCATGTCCGACGCGGCCATCGAGACGGCCGTGGAGGACGCCGGTCGCGTTACGGAGCTGACCGGGGACCCAACGAAGGATGCCGACGGCACGAACGCCGAAGCGCTGTTTGCATCATGCGTGGCCGCGGCGGCCGTGGAAAATTGATGAGTTGTAACCGTTCCGGTATGGATGGGCCCCACAGCAGTAGGTGTCGTGTCACCGTCGCCATCCAGCCGCGTCAGGTGTGGGGAAAGCCAAGGAACCATTGAAGAAATGGCCACGGAAATGGTCCACGACCAAGGGGTTCGGTACCAATGTAAAATTTTGCGGGGAAAGGGGGGGCGCGAGAATACGGCGCATCGAACGGAACGTACGGGAGAGAAAACGGGGGGGGGAGGGGAGGATCTCGATGAGAAATGGCACGAATAGAGCGGCAGCAGCAGTAGTATCAGTGTTGTTTCCGTGACGCAGGTGCCCAGCCTGATTGCTGGCGGGGGGTAGTGTATATGCTGCCACGACCCATGAGCGGGTAGCGTCCTACACTACTACTGATGTTGCCCTATCGCTTGCAGCGCGCGGGGCCTCTCCCTTTTCTACACACGTAAGCTACTCCGTGCCATCTAGGTACGCATGTCTAACAACCAACCCTCGAAAGTCTGCGCGCGTTTGGTCTTGCTATACTGCAACCAAGACGTGTGTTCTGCCGCATGTCAATAAATCGCTGGACTTTTTGGATTGACGCTGCAAAAAACTCCAGCAACACCAATGTTTGATAGTTTTGCTTCGCGTGTTTCCAGAAGGGCACAGCAGTGTTTTCAATGCTGTTGCTTTTGCATAAAACCGGTCCAGGTTTATGGAATCAGTACTCTCTACCACCCGTAGTTGGTCCAACTGACGCGGCCGCATTCCGTGGTCACAGGACCACTCCCCACCCAAAAGGGGTACCATTTACTCAGCAGTACAACAATCATGCAGCAGTAAACGGTAGCAATGCAATGCTGAAATAGTCTCGCAGCTACACCTGAACGCTACCCTAGTGCTCCAAAAGGGATAGAGATAAGAGACAAGAGGGGTTAGTGGCCGAACGTGGGAGGCACAGAGAGATGCTTGCAACAAAGGAGCAGTGGGGATCAGGGTCGCCTAGTGACGATCGCCAGCAGCATGTTGCAGTTGTGGCTAAGGGATGATGCAGCACTGGGATTTACAAGTCAACGGAGGTGAATGTGACGACCTTCAGCTCTGCCCGCCCGTCCAAATCTCTACAGACAGCATGTGGCTCGCGCACGTGCAAGCCGGCCTCAACAAGAACTGCTGCTACTGCTCTTGAGGGAAAAGCACATTCACGCGGTGCTGTGCTGTGCTGTGCTACTGCTGTGTGTCGTTTGTCATGTGCATACCCAGCAGCCAAAGAAACCTCCTCACGCAGAAGCTCCGAAAATGCGACATGTTTTTGTTGTCGCACAGCAGGCTTTAAGAAAAAAGGGCGGGCCTAAATTTCTCCAGCTCTTCGACTGCTGATATGGGACGTATCTAGCTCTCTTGCCTCCGGCTGCTGTATGCGCATCCTGCCGTCGGGCCAACAGCCAACGATGTGGTATGTACGTATAGCTGCGCACGGCCTTGTGCACATATCATGATCGGGTGTGCTCGCGTCTTTGGCAAAACCTTTGCTACCGAGCAACTGCTGCGCCAAAAATGGTCCCGTTTCAAGTGCAACAAATCAACGTCCTGAGCAACGTACGCGACCACAGCGTTGTCTCTCTCTCTCCGTCTTTCGCCAGGACTACGCTGCATGCCGTCTCGCTCTCTCGCTCTCTGTGTCTCTCTGTCTCGCACACCAGATTTTGGTTGCCACCCCAAACCAAAGGGACAACACACACGCATGTAAACCTGTCCATCGTTTTCCTTTTAGCAACAAGCAACGCCACCACGCCGAGAGTCTCACCTGGCCAGCACGGCCGAGAAAGCGATAACAGACTTCATGTTTTCCTGAGAGGATGGGGCTACTTGATCTGTCCCTGACGATAGAGGAGCACGAGATTGGCACACGAGAGAGAAGAGAGAGGAACAACGCTTGAGGAAAAGAACTGGAGGGGTTTCGTAGAGATGGCTCGTAACTCTTCAATACACATAAGTTGGAATTTCTTGAAGGCAGATCTTGGCAAAACAAGGGGACCGGGGACCAGAACATGACGAGCAAAAAAAAAAAAGAGAGAGAGAGGCGGGATCCTGGGATCCTCGCGACTGCTGGCGGGTGCTGCTGCTGCTGCTGTGGGTGTGGTTCTTTGTCTTAGCATCTACTGCGCTTCCTGGGCCTGATGGTCTGTGTCGCATGTTTCGACCCCGCACACACCTCCTTTGCAGACCCATGGGTCTCCCTATACATGTCCCCGAACAACAAGTACACCATGCATTGTATCTGCTCACAGAACATGATTGTTGCTCTTGGTACAACATTGTAGTATCATGACAGCGGGGGTACACCGCGAATCTTGTTTCGTTGGGTTGTTTGACTTGTCATGTACCGCCGTTGATGGCGATGCGGCGGTCGTGTTTGCTGGTGTGTGTTTTTCAACAGAACGTGCGCCTGTGGGTGTACACAGCAGTATCGGGGTGCAAGGGTTCACTGCTTGTGTGATGGCGCGGGCGTGCCAATAAACCATATTATTTACATACCACACAGACAGATGTCTGACAGCTTACAGCTTATAGCCGCTAGTTCAATGACGGAGAAAATCCGTCGTCCTCCCTTGAGCTACGATGTTGGTCGTGTCTCAAGTCGGGAGGTAGACAGGGCGCGATCGTCGCGTGCGACTTTTGATCCATTCCATTCCGTAGAGAGCACCGCAATGACGTCTCGAGGCAGTAGACTATTACGAAACACAAAGAATCTTTCGCGATGGATCCTGAAATATTATCTACGGGACAGGGATGCGGCGGTAGGTCGGGCAACTATATACGTAATTCTGCGTGCACATACCAGGCTCAGCTCTTCTTCGAAAGATAGATCCACGAAAAGAAAGGTATAACGGTAGAGCAGTATGCAATTCAAAATCGATGCCCTGAAGAAGAGGTGAAGTTCCCCGCCTTGGAAGGAAGCCTCAAAATCAAGATTGATTGCCGCACGCCGCTCTCTCGAGGGGACACCGAGTTACAATACGACTATCCGTGCATGTTTTTGCGAAATCATTGCAAGACACGTTGGTAAGCGGCGCCTGAGCTCTCAAGCCAGCCAGAGGCGTGTCCTTCGAACGCTAAAATACATCGATGGTCAATGGTCATGCTTCAATGCACATGCTTACGTACTGCTGTACCTCTTCCACAGCTACTGAAACAACATGATTAGTCATATCCGCAACTATTGTACGATGTCGAGGAGCAGCCTGCTCCCTCTGGGCGGTACCTTCAACAGTCCCCGACCCACTAACATTGAAGGTAGCAGACAATTCTCACACTCATACAAACAACACGCAAGCCCCCAGCACCGCGGCCGTGACCCAGCGAACAAAGGCCGCAACTTAACAAAGCAGCAGTTACATAAACCCGATAATTTCGACCCTGAACCTTGGGGGAGAGTGGCATGCGCCACGATGTACGTGCATGTAACAAGTCCATCGATCGTAAAACCCGGCCGGAAAAACAGTAAACAAGTTCGTACGTTAGACAACCAAGACAGAATTTAGACACTACATGCCCCCGTCTCCCAGACTGGACGAAACGCTTCTACACTACGAAACCACGCTTGGTCGCTCCTATAGGAGACCCAGTTGACGAACGCCAACTCTCTCTCTCTCTCTCTCTCCATAAAACGAAAGGAAAGGAACAGGGTGCCTGCCCGCGCCGAACTTTCGCACGCTTCTGACGGAAAACATCGTCCCGACGCAGCCCAAGAGAGGCCGGGATGGCACATTTCTCCTGTTAGGGAGTGAGAGAAGAAACAACTGGCAAAAAAAATGGTAGATCAGGGCTGGTCTCGTGCGCCTGTATGTGAAGCGGGGATGGGGGTGGCGGCGGAGGCTATACAAAATCACCCGACCGCTGCAACTGTCTGGCTTCTGACTTATGTCGCCATCTATTCGCACAAAAACATTTTCCGCACAAGACGGTGATTCTCAACAAGTTGTATCCGTCGCTATCGGCCCCGAGATCGAGCTGACTATCGCACAGCCCCCCCCCCCCCCCCCCTCCCGCCCTTCTAACCCAAGGGAAAAAAAAAACCGGGGCCCCAAAAAAACCCCCCCCCCCTCCGGGAAATGGTGAATTTTAAGAACCGGCACATTTTTCCCCTTCCCTCCCCGGCCGGGAATAAATCTTTCTCCCCAAAAAAACCTAAAAAAAAACACTTTCCTTCGGAAAAAAAAAACCCCACCCCCCCCAAAACGGGAATAAGGATTCCCCGGTTTCAACCCCCCCCCCGGAAAAATCCCCTCCCCCTTTTTCTCCTCCTTAAAACCCCTTAAC